ACGTCCAGCCTCCTCCACCGCCGCTGCTAACTCTCATTGACTCAGCAGCGGCTATGGAGAAGAACGCAGCGCTGCACAGATCACGGTGATCTGAACAGCGGCACTTTCGAACCCATAGCGACCCAGGCGGCCCGCACGGCATCAGGGGGGTGTCCTGGCCGGGCCCTCCTGTGCCCGGGCCCCATAGCGGCCGCCTGGGTCGCTATGACTATTGTTACGCCACTAGGTATAATGGTTATTCCTCCAGTCAGAACAACAGAATCTAAACGTGTGTTCAAAATATTAACGTAAACGTTTTTCATATCATTCGGACAAAAAGTTATGAAATATGCAACATTTTACTGTTGTCAATAGAGATGAGAGGAAACTTACAAAGGGGACATCTGTCCCAGTGACAACTGTCTAAGAGGGGATTTCCCCTAACTTTGAAGAGATTTCCTCTAACATCCTGCCATCTGCATGACAGGAAGTGAAGGGAAAGCTTCCCTACAGGTTAGTAAGAAAAAAGAAACCTCACAGGAGTTATAACCATTCCCTACTCTACCCAAAACAAAATTATGTTGGGCTTTGGGCAGCCAGGTTCACACCATTTTCCGGACCAGATCTGTATCACAGTGCGCTGCATTTAGCCGTGGTTTTACCAAAATTTTGCAACGTTCCAGAGCTGGTGGGGTTTTTGTTGCTTTTTTTTTTTTGCTCAAAATGGGTTTTCAAGTGCATTCCAGTGCGTTTGTATGCGTTTTGATGCGATTCCATGCGTTCCAGACCAGACAAAATGAGACATGCAGTATCTTTCTGGTCTGGAACAGACTACGATGGTGTGAACAGAGGCCAAAAATAGCATAGGGATACATTAGGATGCATCTTGGGCCCGGAAACAATCTGGTCTGGCCTGGAGATGATTTGGATGTGGTGTAAACGGCCCAAAGGTAAACATTAAAATGCTACATACATCATATTGTCATTAAGGGTCCTCCTAACCCTTCTGTATCTAATTGTATTGTAAGTGTACTGATTCAATTTATTTGGTAAAGCAATTTGCAAATTGTCGCCACTATATAAATCTTGTATAAGAATAATAATAATAGTGGATTAACCAGCTAATGAATCTTCCTTTCTCTTTCCTTTTTTCCAGGAATCCAAACAGCTTATTAAAAGGTAAGCAGGATTTTATGTGACCTTGTGCAATGATATAGCAGGTTAAAAGCATGATTCCACGTATACTACCTTCAGAATTTTTGTTTTTTTGTTTTTTTTTAGTAGCAGGAATGATTTAGAACCTTTGTCAGGTTTTAACTGCTGTCTGTATTCTAACTACTGACATTTCCCCTCACTTCCTGTCCTGGAGATACCACAAAACTTTAAAGAGGGACCCCACCTTGAGAGCTGTCACTAGAATAGGTGTTCCCAGACAAAGATACTCCCACACCTCTTGTTCTGATGAGAACCAGGATGGGAAGTGAGGTTAAATTATCCAAATAGGGACACAGGCACAAACCTTTATACCCTATCCAGAATTAGAAAATAAAACATTTTGGCTGGAGTATGTACTCTATAATTATCTACAGAAGAAACGAACACTGGCATGCCTTTCTTTTAGCTCCAGATCCAGATATAATTGCCAAATAAGCCATACTGCATTCATATTGATTGCCTATCCATATCACTCATTGAGTTTGCATGGAATATCAATGACATACTCAAAACCATCTTTATCTTCATAGGATTATGGATGCTTCTAAGGGTAGTCGCTTTGAGAAAACAGAACCTGGTTTTGATAACATGGACCAATTTACTTTGGACACTGAACATATTACAGAATGCCTAAGAAGCCTTGATTTTAGTACAAGTAAGTGTGTTGCTATGATGTGAGCTTTATATACAATGTTAAAATCTTTCAGTCCCTTCTCATCCAGAGTCCAGACTGGGGGAGGGAGCAGTAGCACAAGAACCATTCAGTTGTTCTACAGTGCAATGTACATGATGAGGCCGGAGAAAGGAGAGTGCCATAAATTATGAGCTTATCAGTCTGCTGCTTCTCCTTTCACTGTCCAGTCACAGGGTGGGTGTGAGGAGAGGAGTCCTGTTAATGTTGAGAAAATCATGTCTCCTCTGTCCTGACATCAGTGCAGCAGAGCTGTGTACATCTCAGAACTAGGTGGACAGAAATACAAATCCTGTATTCATCTGTGTACTTGCCAAGATGTTTGCCTGCAGTTTAGCGTTAATAAGTGAAACAAAAGGGTTCAAACTAGACCCTGGGGTAGTTATTACTGTTGCTAGATATCTGTAAGGGCAATGTATAAAGTTCAAAGAATCACTTCATTATGTCACATTGTAGATTGTGAAGATGAAGAGGAAGAAGAGGAAAATGAAGAATATGAAGAGCCAGAAGAAGAACATCCTGGCGGTAAGAAACTTCATTCCTAAAATATAGAAAACCCACCATCAGCATAATTTGCATAATTTACTTATATGGCTATTTATCTCTGTACAAAAGGAGCCATTAGTGATACATTGTACATGTGACCTTGACAAATACATGATTGCTGCTGAAATTCTGCTGCTATTGGAGAAACCTGTAACTCCCCCACCCAGCCTTTTCTAAATCTACCCATACACAGGCTTATCATGGGCTAAATTCTGTTCTTATAGGCAGCTTTGGGGAATACTGGGATTATGTATAGAAAACAGTCTTTACCTGCTGGCATAGTGTGAAAAATCCACCCCCTGGATTATTTAGTGAATGTTCTGAACCTGTCTGGTGTGACCATATACTTGATTGACAAAGATTCCCTGCGCTTGAGTTGGGTCAAGTGCATGGCCATCCAGAATAACTTTTAGCATCTTTGAGGCTGGTTAAAAGTATCTTCAATGACAAAGAGAACCAACCGCCGATAATCTGAATCTTCACCTGAATCGTTAACTTAGTGCAGCCTTACACCTCGGGGATTTCTAGATATGTTGTCAAGCTAAGTGTCAGGCTGTAAACTCCTGGCTCAGCTTAATGCTCATAACAGACAATAAAAAAAACTGAAAACGAAAAGCTTTTTTAATAGGTGATTTACCCTAGACATCCTAGACATTGTGTCAGTTATCCCTTCTCAGCTGAGGGGGGAAAAAAGGCCAGCACAATGGCAACCTAGCATCCTGATACAAAGCTGATGTTCCTTCTCTGACAGGGAGAGAATACGCTTAAAAACAGCACAACCACCTATCCTTGATAGGTAAGACTGTTCTGTGGAGATTCAGATGCTTACAAAAGACCACTCGTGATTGGTTCTACATAAATACAACCTGTCACCAGACTACCTAATTTAACAACAATCTTCTCACAAGAATTTTACGTATTTTATGCATGTCTTGTGTAGACTTCCAAAAATCGTAACACTTCTGCTGGGTGCAACCATCTATGTGATGTTCCTGCTCCGTGAGTTCACTGTCACTATCAGTCAATGGACTGTCTTAGAAAGGATGGGGAAAATATGATGTGACATTAATTGTGTGCCTGAAGTATGGAATCGCTCAAATTCACTGACATGATTGTCAGGTAGACATTCTAATAATGCATTAGAAACCTTGTCAGCACCATCTGTTTTTTCTTTGGTTTATGTTTAAGTCCATTCTTTGAGCTGCACAAAGATAGTTTTATCTAAATTAGTGCAGTTTGTTTACAAAAGATGTACAGTGCAAATGGCCACAGTGCATAACATGAGTGGACACTCAGGGTGTAGCATAAAACATTGTCACATCACTTTACAATGCAATGCAACAGGGACATTTGAACACGCAAAGGTTGGTGGGAATACCAAAAACTTCCAGATAGTGAGGAGGAGTGATGGAAATTAGGTGTTGGTGATAAAGTTTAGACTTCACCTGTAGCTAAATATTACTCTGACTCCACAGCCAACTTCGCTGGTCTGCCAAAGCTGCTTTTCATGCTAGGGATCTTGTTTCCACCCTTTTGCCGATGTTATCATGCCTGCACTGTAATCAGTGCAGAACCAATGGCCATGTCATTATGATGGGACATGGCCAGTGGTAGGACTGCCAGCCCACATACCAGTACTGAAGAGTATGAAGACAAGATTTACTGGATGTTAGCTGCTTTTTCTGCAAACACCAGCAATAGTTTGTTTCCCAGATAGCAAGTAATTGAGCTGCAAGTTTGAAAATGACTTGCTAAACTATTGCAGACTTGCCAAGCTTTACAATTTTGTTGCACAATTACAGCAAGTCTCCAGACCAGCGAGCTTGCAGAGCTCTTGCTAAGACCTGCAGGACTCTTGCTGTAGACTTGCCAAGCAAATTTGCTACAAATTCAAAAAGTGTCAACTAGAACTTGTGCTGCGAGTATTCTGCAAGTCTACAACTTGCCAGGAATGTGTGCAGCAAGTTAACAAGAATTACAATTTAACCCTGTCACAAGTTTGTGGCAAGTTATCCTTGCTATCTGGGTTATGAGCGAGGGGGATAGGGGGGCAGATGTGTCATTTTTAATTAGTCCCTGGATCTCTGCTTCAAAGCAGAAATCTAGGCAAAGATTAAAAACAACAAATTAAATATAAGGATTTATTGAACTGGGTGAAATCCCTTTTTGTGCATCCTCCCGCAGTCCGCAGTATGTGCATGGGATGCTATGCATTGTGAGCTATTCAGGCTCCCTTGCACCGCTGCCAGTCTAATATGTTTTCAGGCAGGGGGAGGTGTATAGGCAGTCTATACAGGATAGAGAACACAAGGAGGACATATGGGTGATAATGAATTTTCAATGTCCTGCCCATTGGATGATGAAAAATCATTACCACGCTAAGGTCCTTCTTGTGTGATGAGGAACTGCAAAGCTATGATAGTGAATTGCAGTGCAATGTGGTTACGTACAGCAGTGTTTTAACAGAATTACACATATTTTGACAGGTAAACAAAAAAATAACAATATTTTTGGCACCTGTGTATTTAGCTGATGGGCTTGAATACTGGTTTAAATGATCAAGTAAAGCATTTGGTGGAGCTTACTTGGCTACACACTAATATTATATTGTGCACTCTTGATTCAGAAATTTTAAGCATTGGCTATTTGTTGTACTATTCGAATGAGGAATTTTATGGCAGTTTTTCCTGATGCTGACTTCTTCATTCTGCAGGTAGTGATTAGTGGGGGTCATTTTAATAAAAACTGGTGGTCCTTACTTATGACACTTATGCTGCACTGAGTGCCTCTTTGATCAGATATCTTTCATTAGATATGCTCCAAAGATTTTGAGTACCTCTGTGATCAGGTAGAACAACCATGATAAAGGATGAATGAACCACAAAGCCCTCCATTATATGTAAATTACAGGAATAGCCCTCAATTCCCATAATCTGTCATCATCCTGGTATGAGTGACTCTGTGATCAGGGATGTATGTATTGCTCTGAGAGCCTGTAAAGCTAGTCATGGACATCAGAAGACTGTCAGATGTACAGACATGATTTGACTGCTGAAAGATTCAGTTTTACCTGTTAATGGCTATGGAGTGTCAAAGGCAAAAGGGGTATTTGGAGTCACTGTGACTTTTAGAGCACCCCATTACAGAAGCATAGTGGAATTCAGGATTTGTGCAGACAGGACAGGGGTAGAAGTGGAGGACAATATCTATACAGTATGCTACTAGTGACAGACATGGGCTCATGCTAAGCCGCAGAGTCTGAGAAGAGCCAGATTTTCAGCTCACAGGATCTGGCAACTACTAGGTTGGGCCTTGCTTCCCCTGACTTCATGGATAAACTTCATAGCTCCACCATCTACCATTCCCCTGTCCAATTAGAGTGCCCTTCCCGGTCACTGCAATTGAGAGTGGCATGGCAGTTGAAAGTAAGGGCCCAACAACAAGGTGAAATTACTTCAGAGAGACACAGAAGCAGCTTTTATGGACAATAAAAGGTAATAGAAGGTTCCATATGGTATCTGTACCAAAGGTTTTCTTTACTTAGCTAAGAAAACTATCTGAATAAAGATAATAAGATTCCCCATAATAAGATGTCTTAAATATTCTAGTTATTCTGTTTTGGAATACTCTGTGCTATACTGATATGATGTAAATGTGCTTTCCTTAGGATGTTTTTCACTAGCAATATGTTTTCTAAATAAACATAATGCAAGCTGATAAACAGATGCAAGCTGGAAACCAGACAATTTCTGCATATTAGCTAAAAAGATGTCATTTTTGTAATTTACCTTGCAAAATAGTAAACAACTGGCAAAAGTATTGTAGTGTGCTATAGTAAACAGTATTTAACAGTATGTAACAGTAAGCAACAGGTAAACAGAACACAATGGCCAGCAAAATGTTTAGCACTGTGGTCCTGGGATCACTTCCCTTCAGGGACAATACCTGGATGGAGTTTTTATGTTCCGCCTGTGTTTACATTGATACCCTAGTTTCCTCTCCAACATAAAAAAGGTAGTTGGTTATTTGGATTCTGACCAAACTGGTCCTACAGGGTGTAGCTCCATGACTGTGACCACAACATTATAATGTCAGCTCCTCTAAGGCAGAGACCGTTGCAAATGTTTCTATGCATTCTGTAGAGTTGGCAATACACTATAGATTTAAGTTCAGCCTAAATAGAGAGGATGGATGACTGTGGCACCCTACGCTGTAAGAATAGCTGTTTGGATGCAGTCAAAAGTTTTCAACCCAGCTCCTTCGATAAACTTCTTAAAGTGTAAGACCAGCCTAAGGCACTGTGCAGTCTATATGCTCTACAGCCAAATGCTGGGGAAAAAAGATAAGCATCTGTATTGTACATAGTTCACACATACAGTAGATGGACCCTGATTACAGACAATTGAGAATGGTTCTATTTATTCTGTAAGTCGTTATGTTGCCTATTTCAATATAGTAGAATACTATAATAATAAAGATAAGTGTGCTTATACTATGTAGCTCACACATACAGATGGGCCCTAATTATATTATAACTTTCCTGAAGACCTTGACCTTCATTTATAAAAGTTCTGCCTGGCATATAGCAAAGCGGAAGCCATTTGCACGTCACTAGCACCCGTAGATGGCGCTGACGAGTGTAGGAACTTTGTACACTTGTCGGCACCACTTAGGGGCGCTAGTGCCGTGCAAATGTTTTCCGCCCAGTTATATGCCGGACTGAATTTTTTTAATAAATGAAGCCCTATTAATTTCATCTCAGAATTAACCCGAATCCCATGCATTGGAAAAAAAGGAGTTAAACTGACCCTTTTGCTAAAATTGATAGTCTATTGACTTAATAAAACCATACAAATAAAACTGGGATCCTAAAAAAGAAATTGTGCTCCCGAATAAATCAGCACACTTTGGACAAAAACATATCAATTTCAAAAACTAGTTTTCAGCTTCTATGGTTTGTTATATACATCCTCCAGTGTTAAATGTGCTATTCACTATACTAGTGTTACGTATTGAATAACACACTGCATACTATTATACACTATGTATAACATTTTCTACTAAAATGTATAATCTGTGCATATAGTGATTTCCTCTCCCTCTGCTATTTACAGGGCAGCAAGAACTCCTGAGTGTGTGAAAGACTCGTGGAGCACGTGTCACAATCTTCAGGGAAGAATAGAAAGGAATCACATGAGCCCGGAGAGCAGAGATCCACTGGGCTGTAACTCCGGACTGCTGCTAGTCATCAGAAGACCTTTTTTTCTTGGTCATCTGATTGGGATGTATATAATTGTTCTCTTGTTTTTGTTTTTTTTAAACTCTCGGGTGCTGTGACTCTGCATTTGGGTTGGTTTCCGTTCTTTCAGAAACCCTGTGATGGGGAAAGTGGGCAAGTATTTGGGTCATGTAAAATGAACTTTGGATTAGTGTGCCTTGTATTGACTGCTAAACTTGAATAAAATGTTTCCGATCTTGTGATAGATTCCTGAGGCAGTCGCTGTGATATCATTGTACACAGTGTTTGGTACACTACCCAATTTAGTACCCATAACGGGTAGTATATGGACAGCAACAATACTTAGGTACAATACTGATTTCAGATACTGTTGCTATTAAAGGGTGTGTAAAACCTAACAATGAATTTCTCTTAGTTGATCACTTTTGGTCTGTTAAATATACCATTGAACGCATTTTGTTATATCTTTTTATTAAGTGCAAAAAATACCTGTTGATCCTGATGGTTGGATAACTTTCTGTACCTTCTGCCTGTACTGACTCTTACCAGCTATAAGTCTACAGAACCACTCCCCTCGTTGCCATGGACAATGTTTGGGGTTAATACCTGTAATGCCAGTATTCAGTGCATGAATTCCTTTTTTATTTCACATTCTTTTATGTAGATTTTGCTCCAGAATTACAGACAAAGCTGTCCAGGAAGAGTGACAGTGACAGAGGCTGGGTCAGGCTATAACAAGAATATGAATAAAGAGTCATTATTGCAAGCTACCCCTGCCCTTTCATAATGCAGGGGGAAGAGCAGGCAGCAGCAAATGGAGGGGGGGGGGGGGGGCTTTTTTCCGGGG